AAAAATGTTTTTTTCGTTTTTGTTTTTATATTCTTGGGGTAGAAGTCTCAGTGAATGAGTGCATTTTTCTTCAACTTCTGATGAGGAGAGGAAATTACCATTGTTTTTCTTTTTCGCCTCAAGGGAAGGGATGACCTCACTGCAATACTACGTAATACTTCTGACTAAGAACAAGATGCGGTAAGGACTCTTAAGAATTCAATCATCGGCAAGTACTGCTATGCGCATAAATGCAATCACACAACTGTGGCTTCCCACAACAAATTTAAATCAATTATGTATTGTGAAGAGGAAGAAATTCTCTACTACATTTCTGTGAATGCTATATACACCACAAAAATAATGTCCCATGGGATTGAAATAAAACTAGGTTAGCTTGGGGACTGAAAGAGCATAGTTTTTGTCCAGTTACCGATATGATATTTCTTCCCATCAATCGTAGAGAGTGGGCAATAAAAATCATCACATATCAACCGGACCCCAAATATTTCTGTCATCGGAAGACTTTGAATCTCTTAAAAATGCTCCCAAGTGCGGTTTTGCTGGTTGATTTCTTCCAAGAGGGAAGTTCCAAAATGAATCAGAGTTCTCGAAGAAGATGTAAAAGGCGACAGCGGATGCTAAAAACAGTCCTAAAAGCACCATATAGATCTGCCACTCTGCATATTTGGAACAAGGGTAAACAAAACTGTCAAACCACACCCCAAAAAATATATAACAAAAAAAGAAGAAGAAAACAGAGAGAGAGAGAGAGAGAGAGAGAGATAACCTTTCCAATCTGCTGGAACAGTTAACTTAGTTACAACAGCTCCCCATTCATTAGAAGTAGTGAGCACAACCCTGAAACCAAGAAAAACGTGAGCATCCAACAACCAAAGAATTGCATACTCCAAATTTTTTGGGTTACAAAACATGTCTAAAGTTAAATTTCATTGGAAGTTTCCAGCAACGCTTAGTACTCTACTTTAGCATTCTGATGCAGAAAAAAAAGAAACAAGAAATTTTTTTCCGAAGTTAAAGCCCCTTCCTGAGCAAGACTATAATTCCAATGCTGTTCAATGAAGGCAAATAGAAGCATCAAGAAAACTAGAAGAAAGTTGTGTGCTGATCCTTAATACATTCAATAGAATGAATACCCAGAAAATGGCCTCTAAAGAAGCATTTTCATGAAAAATACATACTACGAAAGTGCATCAAGTGCGACCTTAGATCTGAAAACAAGATGAGCTCTAATAACACAAGTAAAACCTTCTCTATAACAAATGCAAATTATACAGCAAATCTATCTGTATTACAAAATAAAGTCAAATTTTATTATATTTAAATCACGGTCAAGGAATGGATTGATTGTTAAGCACCGGTCAATCAATTATGGTAATTCAACATACAAAAACATGTCAGTAGTAATTCACAAAACTGTATTGGTTGGAAGGGCCTTACCTTTCAGTGGGACAAAACTCCAGAGTTTCAATGCATGTACCCAGGTGTAGCCTCTTACTCCAGTGGCAAATCTCCATTTTCTTAACTTCAACCACACAAATATCTCCATCTTTGCTTCCTCTGCAATTTAAAGAAAAAACTGGTGAAACCGATATCGTAAACTATGTCCCAACAACAACATTCTGATAATATTTACCAAATCATCAAAGCACTGTATCCAAATGTGGAGTGACTCATCATTGAACCAAAGAAAGAACATAATAAACAGTCAATTAATATATTTCTCTGATTCACATCAACATTGAACATTTGAAAGATTTGTCCTCTCTTAAAAGGGCGTGTGAGCAGGCATATCTATGTGTATATTACATTAGCACTCAATTCATTATAAATATGAACCAGTCTAATTACCAGAGATGTTTAATGTTCAATTTGATGCACCAGCAGAGCAATTTATTGTTTAATAAATTCTCATTTAAATCCTAGTATATAAACACAAGATAAAATGCAGTAAAGCGCTTACAGAGCAAGATATTTCCCATCCTTGCTGACGGACATAACAGAAGCAGACTTTTTAAGTAGCCTCTTATGCCCAATTTTAGTCCATGTACTTATGTCCCAAACTGCGGTGAAAGCTTTATCACCTGTTTGATTAAAACAAATATATTTAATTGTCTGAGAAACAATGATATAGCAGAACAGAATTATTTTAGAGAGGTAGACCTTTTTGAACAGTGCAAAATAGAAAGGGTTTTGTTGCATCCTTAGAAAACCGACAGAGTTCAATCTTTTCATCCTGCATGAATTAAACTACAAATATTACCCCAAGATTCCACCAAAAAAAAAAACACACCAAATATTATGCAAGATAGGAGAGAAAAAAAGGCAATATATTTCAAAATTTTAAATGAATAAGCCATACCGAGTTGCGAGTCAAAGTAGTCAAAGGAACACAATCTTCCATCTTCCATATTCTTGCTGCTCCATCAGTAGATGTTGAAGCTAAGAACTCGGAGTCTAGGCTAGAGTAGGATAAACATAGACCAAAACATTCAAAATCCAGTATAGGAAAACTGTGCAAATCTTCTTAAAATATTCCAGTCTATAGACTCCATACACCAAAAGAAAATGAAAGGGAAAAAGAATCCATTAACGTATTTTATTTTCATTATATAACCAATTCATCTTCGCTTATACTAAATTCAACCAAGACAGTTGGTTTGTTTGAGATTCTTAGATGAGTGCAATAAGTACTGCGGGAAAGCATCATGGCCTTTTCCTATGTAACTGCAGTAGCATTGATTAAGATACATAACTCTTCTTGCTCAATCATATGATAATGCCAAATCCAACAAAATGTAAACAGATATCTGATTATAGCATTTTCTTATGCCTTGTTATCTGTATTTAAATGTACACAAGACAATCAACAAGCATTTTCCTCACCTGAAATCCAAATCACGAACAGACTTGTGCGCTCTTGGTTCATCTAAAATTATTCGGAGGCTTGGCCACTCCAAAATTCTCAAATGCCCATCCTAAAGTTGATTAGGGCATAATTAAATAAATGTTTGGCATAAAAATTAAGCTGCAGCACGAGAAGTGTATGGTGAAAATGGACAGTAATACAGATTATTGCTTACCACCCCACCAGTAGCCAATTTAGATCCATCAACACTAAAAGCTAGACACTTCTGTGGACCAATTCCCTTCAAAGGAGCTAGTTGTTTTGCCAGCAGCTTTGCATTTGATTCTTGGCCATATAACTCAAACAATCTGCATTTCTCCCAAAAAAATATAATTCAATATATGAGATATACTGACAACTCAAGGCAAAATACTGGATGTGGCCACACTTGAGGACTACATAACCTCCACTAGAATCTCTATAAACTGACTAGCTAACACAGAAAGAGGAGGAGCAGGAGGAAAAGAAGCTCAATCAGCCAACAATCACTGGCAAGTTGAACAACAATTCATACGAGAAAAGTATCCCCATCATGCTTTTGTCTCTATCTTGGTTTAATCCTAATAAACTCCACCTTAAATTTGAATGATATCTTTATACAGAGATCATGTTCTTTAGTTGAAGTGAAGTCAAAATGCGCAAACAAAAAGCAGTGATAGTAGGAAAATAAAGCATATGGAAGACCCAAAAATCTTATCTTCTGGGTTCTAAATTTAAAATGGTTCAAGAAAGACAAATATTTGAACCTTGCCACCGAAATAAAATAAAAATAAAAAAGCACTTAAAATATATATATATATATATATATATATATATATATATATATACACAGATGTGTACCCACATATCCTATCAAGCACTAATAATTATAGTACTATTACAACAATGAAGCAGTGAATCAGATGGGAAGCTTTACGCTCCAGTTTTAGCAATCAAACAGCACAGCTACTCTCCAACAACATCAAACAACAGTACAGTTTGAGCAAGCTTTAATGATTAAACACCATAAACCAACGAAATGCAAAGAAGGACAGCTTTAAAAAAAAAAAGGTTCTTTAAACTTATAAAAGGCGTCAACTAATAATTAGCATCAAATTGGGAAACAAAAAGAAACCCAAAATAAAAAATAGTACCACAGATATAAAATAACAAAAAACAGCTGTTAAATTTCGAAAACCAAAGTCACTAGAAGAGAAAGAAAGCTCACTTGCAGCCACCATTAGAGGTAGAGCAAACGATGTCGTCTCCGGTTGGGTGCACCGCAATGGAAACTGGCTCACCCTCCACTTCTTCAAGTACATATGTAGTCTAAACAATCAATCCAAAACACACACAAAACAAAAGTTAAAGTCAAACGCAAGCAAACAAAAAAGTCAACCCTTTCTTCAAGGTCTCTTGGGTCAAACCGGTGAAACAAAAAAACCCAAAATACGAATACCCAATTCACAGGGCAGCAAAAATTGCATCCAAAGCTTGTAAATTTCAAATAAAAAGAGATTTTAGAGAGCGAGGGAGACCAGGGGAGAGGAAGAGAGAGCAGTAGTCTTGGGGTCGAAGGAGAAGATCTCGAGAAGTGAAGAAGACGACGACGAAGAAGAATCCTTACGCCTGGACCTCCCGAACACCGCCCAATTGGCGCTTTCGGGCCGTCGGATCCACGACCCGCACGTCACCGGACCCTGCTGTTCTGCCCCACCGCTCGCCATTCAGTTCAATTTCTAAGAAGAGAGAGAGAAAACAGAGGCAAAATCTGACAGGGATAGAATTAGAAATTTCGTTAGTTTTCTCCCTGGATATTTATTTATAGAAGTAAAAATGGACCCCACCAAAACCCCCAAAAGGTACAAGAACGACGACCATGTTGTTGTCGTTGTGGGTCCCACGGAGCTGTATCGACGACGATGATGCTGATAACAATGTTGTTGGCGGGATGGGACGATGTCAACTTTGTTGATGGATATTCGCTCCAAAGATTCTGCGCCTTTATCTTTTTTCCCCTACAGGAGTAGGTTTGGGCCTGGTAAGGCCCATTATGGTTTGAGCTCGGCCCATGGGCCCAACCTTTGTCTTTTCTTTTCTTTTCTGTTTTTTTCCTGCAGCAAAACCTCAATACTAAAACCCTACCGTTTTTCTGGGTCTCCGTCGTGAAATTTCAAAGCTCTGTTGCCCAACAAAGCCTAAGCTTCCATTCGGTCTACTGTATAACTGCTTATCTGTCAGAGACGCATTGAAGGGCTGAGCTCTCTCTCTCTCTCTCTCCCAGTCTCCAGAAACAGCAGCAACTAAATTGGGACCAGAGAGGTATTGCCTTAACTCACTGAGGGTGCATCATAAAATGCTCTCCAAGATGCACACCAACTGTTTGGTGATATGTCTCCAAGAAACATGTTGGATATTGTTTTCTTTTTCATTATTGCTTTTAAGTAATTTAGGTACCAACACACCAGCTGCATACTGACGTTCTATCTTGTGTTTCGTTCTTGTAAAAATCTTTTGCTTACACTTTCTATTGTTTTTCTTTTGATAGGGTAGTGTTTCTATCCTTTCTTGACAAAACCCAGAATTTGATTGTCTCAAATTCATTACAATAATCAATTCTTAATGGATTTTAAAGGATTTATAAACCCTTGTGGATTTTATGGATTGTAATTGAATAGGGGTCCTGCTTCTCTCAGAATAATTTCTTCTCCTAAGTTTGCCTGAGCTTTCTTACCCTGCCCCTTGATAAAGGTCCAACGATCACAATTTAATGTGAATTTGTTCATAATACATTGATATTAATAGCTTTCTTTTTGCATTTACTTTTTGTTTTTCTTAATGCATTGAGTTTTTTCTGTCCTCTTTCCTCTTCAATTCAGTGTTTTGCTATTCAAAATTCACCTTTTGAGTTGGGTTTGCTAGTTTGTACAGAATGTGTATGGGTGTAGCTCGTGATAGGATATGGATTCTCCGGCTAAAAGATTATGTGAACCATTTTATTTATTCTTGTTTTAGAAAAAATTGAATATTGTAGTTGAATTGCATTACTCATCAAGTTTCAGGGCATTTTGTATTTTACAAATACGAAAGTGGATTCAGCAAGATGGGTGTGAAACAAGACGATGGCAGTATTATGCCTACATCTGAACAGGTACGCATTAATTCTCATTTTATTTTATCCAAATGAAAATCAACCAATTATATCTTATCTAGCACTAGTAGTCCCTCAACATGTGCTTGCAATTATGGTTCTATTCAGTCTCATAGATGTTTGCTCATCATTTGTTTGGTTAAGATATTCTATTGTAAATATTTTGGCATTTTTCTTATAGTAGTTTTTTGTGTTTTTTTTTTTTTTTTACTGAACGTGATATTATGTCTGTTTCTTCTTACCTGATTGTACTACTGTCTTTGTTGCTTCCTGCTTTCTAACCACATTCGGCTGTTTATAAGTAATACTTGTGAAAATAATTAAACTCTCATCTGTTTTTTTTTTTTTTTCTAGCTACATACTTGGAATGTGCCTGACCATTTAAGCAATCTGAGCTGTAATCTTGACACCTTCTTTACATATCTCCACTATCTCACTCCTCCAACATGAGAGCTGAACACTAGGTTCTTATGTAAATATATGGCTTCCTGTTACACGATTAGAAAATAAATGGTTCATATTTTAATTTGCAGGAGAAGATCTCTGATGAGTTAGATATCAGAGTGAAGAAGTTTCTTAGAGGCGAAAAAACTAATTTGGAGGTACCGTGTTGTCAACGGAATTTGACTTTTCATGAAATTTGACTTGTTTATTTCTTATTGCATCTTGGATTGTCGTGTTTGTAGGGCTTGCAAGATAAAAAATTGAAGGGTCAACTTGCTGTTAGAGAAGAATTGTTTGGAAAATCTGCACAAGCTGCTGCCAAGGCTGAGAAGGTGAATTTTTATTGAATGTGATCTGTCGTTCTGTCATAGCAGAAGGGGAAAAATCTAACATACAGTCATGCTTAAGCATTCTGTTGGCCTTTGTATTAATTTGTATAGATTCAGCTATGGTTTGTATTTTTTCCAGTCGTATGCTGTTTGCTTTTCATCTGAATTATAGTTTTCTCTGATTTACTGGATTTAGTTCATACAAGCTGATCTTCTACAAGATATTTTGCTTCTCCTTTTCTTTTAGTAGATGTAATAACAATAGACTTTAATGAATTTTCATTTGTGATCAAAATTATAGTGGCTTCTGCCAAGTGAGGGAGGCTATTTGGAGGCTGAAGGCATAGAGAAAACATGGAGGATCAAACAAGAATCAATTGCTCGTGAAGTAGATATCTTAAGCGCAAGGAGTCAATATGATATTGTCTTACCAGGTTGAAACCTAAACGTTTTTATTGATTTCTAATGATTAACAGTCAGTCAGAATTTTTCATTCGAACTTTATTGTTTTCCTTATTGAAGTTGAAAGTTTTCATGTCCTATATCTGGTTGTGTGGCTTTTCTCATTTCAGTTATGCAAATTCTGATTCAACTGGCCTAAGCAAAATTAGTTTTGGGATGACCTGTATTGACTGAGAAGAGAGTAGAATTTGGAATATCCTGATTTATCGACAATAAAGAATGAAAAGAAAACTGGAAATGTTCTTTTCTCTTTACAGTGTTTTCAGATAAGTCCATTGATATTTGGTGGAAAGAAGAAATAAATGAACTGGAGCAGAATAAAAAATATAGCTTTGTTGGGTGCTGGATATTAGTTGAGATAATGGTTCAAGGGGTTGAATGTGGGATTCATAACATAGATATTAAAAATAAGGCAGATTTCTTTGTGAGGTCTAAAAGCAGGTTTATGCTTTGTGAGGTCTCCTGCATCACAAATCTTACTCTAAAATTTATGATTTAAACCTAATTCTTATCTGCAGATCTTGGTCCTTACACACTGGATTTCACCTCAAGTGGTCGGTATATGGCAGCTGGTGGACGCAAGGGCCATCTGGCTATTTTAGACATGAAGAATATGAGCCTGGTTAAAGAAATTCAGGTATTTTGGGCAGTATGAATTCAAAATAAAACTAAATTTTTTCTACTGAGTAGTAATACCTTTTCAGTCAGATACTGTGACCTTATATTATACATGATTGTTCGCCTCTCTTTTTTTCTTACCAAAATTGTTCGCCTCTTGCTAGATTGATTTAGATATGTTTCTTGCAGCCATGTCCCCATGTCTTAGTCTTCATATGCAAAGATATAATGTACTAGTGTGGAATTTGATGCACTAGATTAGATTCTGAATTTTGTAACCAATGTTATGAAGATAAGAGTTGCGGGAGAGAGAATGAAAGGCATCATGCAAGTACATTTTAAACAGTTTAATCTTTGAACCTTATCAAGTTTTGATATGTTTTGAGTCAAATTATCAGTTCGATGTAGTTGTAGCTTCCCACTGTCCAAATGTGAAAGTTTAGATGGGTGGATGTTACTGTAGTAAACCCTTGTTGTTTTCCTCAATGTACATTTAGTTCATTAGTGGAAAACATCTTTTTCTATGTTTTTAAATGTTATGCGCAAATGTTGGGTCCTTGTTTGATTTGTACTTCTTGGTTTAACTGGAACATTGGACTGATTAGCTAATTGTTTGTTCAGGTTAGAGAAACAGTGCGTGATGTGGTGTTCTTGCACAATGAGTTGTTCTTTGCTGCTGCCCAGAAAAAGTACAAAACTGTTTGCTTTACTTAAATTAATGTTCTGTAGTTTGGTAATCTTTTTACATTTAAAGGGTAGATTATGGAGGGAAATTTTTTTCTGTTGCATGTGACTAAATTGCCAAACATTGAATACTCCCATTGTACAATTTTTGTTTGGACAAATGGACTCCAGATATTACTAAAACCTGCACAATCTACTTTGAACTGACTTGTTGGTCCAGCAGATTATAGATCTCTCTCACAACCACATTTTTCTTTTACAAATTTATAAATAAACCCAATTCTAGACATGTATTTATAAAAAAACCCAAGCACTATTTAAACATAGAAACACACCCAAAATCAACCCCAAAGTCAACTTTTTGGGTGTGTTTATAAATGGGTTTTGAGTGTGTGTAATGATGGGTTTTGGGTGTGTTTATAAAGTGTTTTGGGTGTTGGGTTTTTTTATAATTTCAACCTCTATTTTGGGTGTTTTAGTGAAACTCCCTTTTCTTTATTCCTGGTGGTGGCATGGTGATGCACTTTTGTCCGATTTTATATACATTGATTTAGCCCTGTGTACTTGTTGGAGGATTCACTTATGTTGTTTTAGCCAATATTCTCTACCATGGCCTTTGGTTAAGTACATGTTTTTTTTTCCCTTTGCAATGTGAATAAACACAAGAGTTCAATTTTTAAGCAAAATCTCGTTTTGTAATTTTCACTAGTTTATCTTCTAGTTAAGATTGATGTTTTATCTTATTTAGAGGTGCTAACCATTTTAATTAACAACAGGTATCCATATATTTATAACAGGGATGGCACTGAACTTCATTGCTTAAAGGTTAGCTTACTGTATTGAATAGATTGTTGTCTAACTAGATGGATCGCAATGATTTAAAGGCTTTTCCCTATTATTAGTAACACAATACTAATTATCGTGCAAGTGTTTATTTTCTTATCCCAGGTCTTTGTTTGAGTTGTCTCATTACAGTGCATGTATTGTGAACTGGCTAATCAATTATATCTTCAGTTCGTGCTCCTAATGAGTTTATATTATAGATTGCGTAGAGTTTAAAAGCTCTTCAGATAGGTTGGTGATGCTCTGGGAAAATAGCAGTATTTTAAGATTACTCCTTTCTTTTCTCAAATTGTAATCTGCGACTCATGGTCACTTCATAAATAGATATTTAATCTATTCTGGGATCACATTTAAAACTTAATTTTCTGAGCCGTGATTTCTGCCTTTATCCCATTAATAAATTAGTATAGGTAAATTCTTAGGCAGGTCAAACATGTTGAATAATGCGAGATAAAGCATTGAACCAGAATCTTAAAAGTCAGTTGCTTGCCTTTATGTGTAATTGTGCTCTAGGCGTTCAATTTCTAGGAACCGTGTTCCTCGTATATATGCAGCTTATTCCATAATTTGCTTTAATACTCTTACAAGTCAAATAGTTCCTTGTGATCTGTTGTGAAGTCTCCTTTAATAGTTAAGTGAATGGTTTTCAGATGCATCTGTATGGAGCTAAAGTTATACTTCTTATCATGTAGGAACATGGCGCAGTATTAAGGCTTCAATTTTTGAAAAACCATTTTCTCTTGGCATCAATAAACAAATCTGGGCAGCTTCGTTATCAGGATGTAACAATGGGCGGGATGGTAGCTAATTACAGGACTGGCTTAGGCCGTACCGATGTGATGCAGGTGAACCCCTACAATGGGGTTGTTGCTTTGGGTCATTCACTTGGTACAGTTTCCATGTGGAAGCCCACAAGCTCTACTGCTCTTCTCAAGAGGCTGTGTCACAAGGGGCCCATCACGGCAATGGCATTCCACCCAAATGGCCATCTCATGGCTACAGCTGGGAAAGAGAAGAAAATTATGCTTTGGGATTTGAGGAACCTTAAGGATGAGCCACTCCAGACTTTGCCGGGGAATGCAGATACTCTTGATTTCAGTCAGAAAGGTCTGCTTGCTCGTTCAACTTCATCATTTGTACAGATCCTTAGAGATTCATCTGGGACTCAGAACTACAATAATTATATGACTCATAAAATAATTAAAGGTTACCAAGTAGAAAAAGTGTTGTTTCGACCTTATGAAGATGTTCTCGGCATTGGGCACTCCATGGGGTGGTCTAGTATTCTGATTCCTGGTTCTGGGGAACCCAACTTTGATTCTTGGGTGGCTAATCCATTTGAAACATCTAAACAGAGAAGAGAGAGGGAAGTGCACTCTCTACTTGATAAGCTCCCGCCTGAGACAATCATGTTGAATCCCACAAAGATTGGCACAGTAAAGCCTCAAAGGAGGAAAGAGAAGAAAACAAAGGAGGAGAAAGAGGCCGACATGGAAGCCGCTGTGGAAGCGGTCAAGGGCATTGAACCAAAGAAGAAAACAAAAGGAAGGAATAAGCCGAGTAAGAGGACAAAGAAGAAGCAGGAGATAGTTGCGAATGCCAAGAGGCCTTTCTTGGAGCAACAAAAGAAAGAGGAAGAACAAGTGGCTAGGAAGAAGCAGAAAGTAATTGAGCAAGTGGAGCTACCAACATCTTTGCAGCGGTTTTCTCGCAAGAAATCAGCTACATAGTTGTGCTAATCTAGGTTAAGGTGTTGTATTTTAATTCAATGTTATTCATTTGTGATTTGTGTTTGTTTGTCTTCAATCAAAAATAACTTTTCCATTTATCTATCAGTAAAAGTACGAGCCAAAGGGGTTCTAGTTTCCAAGCTCATCCCCATATTCAAATTTCAGATTTGGGATTTGATTTCACTTCAATAGGGTTCATGTAAATCTAATATTCATAGGATTATGCATTTCGGTTAAACTATGTTGTCCAGATTAACCAGATTGATCTGGTTCAGCACAAATAACATGAGCTCAAATGGCAAGCTTAACCTGCGTATTGAATCCATGACATGAGTTCAATCTCCCTTACGTTTTGTATATAGATCAATTCAATTTATACATGGTGGGTGCGGTGCGGTTTATTTAGGGTTTCGGCCTCAAATCGTACGTAGAATCAATGAAACATCACGATTTGAATTGTTTTGGTTTAAATATCAAATTGGTAGCAAAAGCAAGCGTGCAGCCACCCTTAGGCTAGCGCTAATTTTTGGAAAGTTCGTCATATTTAGTGGAAATTAGCCAATCTCATCCTATAAAAAATGTAGTCCACTTCATTCATCTTAGTAACTCTTTAAATAAATATATATATATATATATATATATGGCGTAGTCACCTTTTCAAATATTTTAAGTGTTGTTTAAAAAAATTAAAATTATTTGAGGGATCCCTCAAATAAGCTTATTTGAGCGACACTCTTGTATGGCTCACTCTGCATTATATGTAGGGCTCACTTCGCATTGTATTTCACTAATCCATACATCTATTTTGTAGATATTCATTCAAAGATCATCTCTACAAAAAATCAATTGAATCCGATATCATTTGACCACTCAATTAAATTATTGAAATTCAAATACTTTCTTGAAGCACCGTGTTCATTGATTTTGTTGATTCCAATTAGATGCCTTAATGATTTTCAATTTGCATATTTTTTTCAAGGATGATCTTTGAATAAAGATGTGAAAAATAAATAGTTTGGATAGTTGAAAAAAATTTCGTACGGGACCCTAAGAGCACTTCCACATCATTGTGCCATAGCAAAGGGTAAGGGCAAACACTATTCACAAGAATAGTGACTGCCCTAGTAATTTTTTGATGCATTCTAACCCATTGTCATAGCAACCCAAGGGCAACTACTTATGAGATATGAGGAGAGGAATTTGTATGAATTGTGATGTGGGAAGTGAAGAACATGGCTAAGTATTTATGGGAAAAAAATCTGAATTTTTTGGTATTTATATTAGTCGCTGACACAGGGATAGACCTAGGATTTCAAAATGAGGTGGGCTAGTGTACCTTACTCGACTATTAGAGTTTAGGCTCGCCTAAATCCTTATAAGGAGGCTGATGCAATTAGTCATAAATATATAAATTGAATTTAAGAATATTTCATTTTAATTTATTTATTTGAAAATGTCTATTTGACCCCAATAAAGCCAGCAACAATTGATTATATATGCTTACCATTAACACTAACTATAAGAAAAGAATACAACTCACCTGGGCTATAGCCCAGGTTGTACATGCTATGGGTCTGTGTTTGGCTGACGTCAGTTTGCCTAGGTAGCAGCCCAGACAAGTCTTGCTTTCAGGCTTGCCCACTTTCATGGTTCCACTTCTTGCCATGACAACTTTTCCTTTGTAAGGCTTATAGTGTGACGTCATCAGCCAATTTAAATACCAAAAAAATTCAAAAAAAAAAAAATTTCTATAAATACCTAGTCTTGTTCTTCACTTCCCACACCAAAATCCATACAAATTCCTCTCCTCATATCCCATGTGAATAGTGGTTGCCCTTGGGTTGCCATGACAATAGGTGGGAATGCATCAAAAAATTACTAGGATAATCACTATTCATGTGAATAGTGTCTGCCCTTACACTTTGCCATGGCACCATAAGTGGAAGTGCTCTAAAAGATGTCCCTCAAATATTTGTGGAATCCCTCAATAGAATGGGTATATATATACCTCTCTATAAATAGATCCGGCTATATTGTACACGACCCGTTAACACGACACGAATTCGCAAAAAAATTTCAGTTTTCAGGTTTGTGTTATCGCGTTGTGTTGCTATCTTGTTGACCTGTCGTTTCGTGTTAATTCGCCAAGCGAGGGTATTTTTGTAATTTTATATTCTTAAAAAAATCCTTACCTTACTTACCAACCCTAGCTATCTCCCTCTTCATTCGCCAAGCGAGGGTATTGTTAGTAATTGATATTTTATTTTAAGATTTTAAAATCTATTAAAAAAAACTGTTTATTTTTCTTATTGTGTGAATCGTGTCGTTTGATTCGCGAATTGTAACGGGTCGTGTTCGTGTTGGGCATTTCCAACCCATTAAGAAAAACGCATTGACACGAACACGACACGAATACTTGCAACACAACACGAATGCCAGGTCTACCTATAAACTCCGGGCTCCACCCAACCAAAGCAATCTGTCCAATGATTCGTTTTGTTGAATTTAGATTGCTTTGCATTTACAAGCAATTAAACAACTATTCTTTATTCTCTATTGTCATAAATTTTTCTTTAAAAGAACTTTTTCTTTCTTTTATATAAGCGATATTGAGGAAGAGGGAATTGAATCTAGGATATCAACTGTGTGGGTAAATGTTTTTAACCACTTTTTTTTTAAAATGTAAATGATACTGGCGGAAGAGGAAAGTAAATATAGAATCTCACACTATCAGTTCAAAGCAAGGACTAAAATATTGATAATATCAACGCAATATCGTCGATATTATCGTTCTTTCGAGTCTAGGATATTTTGGAATATATACATACAAATATTGTATAATTATCAATAATATCGAGAAATATCGACGTCAATAATTTCTCACACGCTTCAATAACATTTGGCCAAAATATTGTGATGATATCAATAATATCAAGATAGTGAAAATAGTGAAAATTTTGAACCTCAGAAGAACTCTATGTGGTATTAAGTCACTCATATATCTTAGCATGCAATGATATGAAGTGTAAAATATTATAGTAAATCATTATAAATAAATGATTATGGTGTGTTTAATCTTCTTTCATTAACTATTACATATTTTCTGCACTCCAAGTGTTTGTCAGCTTACTATATAATCAACTTAAATAAGTTAAAACACATCATGCAATGCATTTTCTTCTAATTTTTTATGATAAACTAATAGATAATTAACTAAATAAACAACCTCCAAAGTTTACATGAAAGTTTCCATTTTTTTTTATTTACATTCTATACTTTGTATTCAATTTTTACCAATACCGATAATTTCTCAATATTTTCATTGAAAATTCCATATTTTCGGACCATTATATTTCCGAAACTTCGTTCAAACTATGTCGTACAGTTGTCGAGGTGAAAAATAGGAAAACCAGAAGTGTCGTCGCTGTGTTTTCCATCATTAAAACGGAAAGACTACTCTGAACTTGGTGTGAGTTTTATTTTCTGATGACGAGCCTCTTATCCTTCACCCCAAGCACCCCCTCTCTCCACCTCCCTACTTTCTCTAACGTGCGCCATCATCATCGCCTCAGCCCCACCACCCTCCTCATCAGCTACCCACATCCGCTCCCACGAGTCCAGATCCTCTACCGTGCGCCGCATGCTCCCCCACGCCCCTCCTTTTCCGCCTCCGCCCTACGCGCCGCAGCCGATGGCCTCTTGCAGGACGCCGGAGCCACCGCGTTTGTGCTCGCGGGCGCCTACGGCCTCGTCCTCTGCTTCGACAATCTCACGCAGCGAAACCTTCTCCAGCAGGTCATTTTGCTCTCCCATTGATTTTTCTTCAAATCTCCAATTAATTGTTTCCATTTTGATTTTCCATTTCTGGTACCCTGTGGAATTTTTATTCTGTTTTCGGTCATAGATTGCTACTTTGATTGTGAATCTGTGAAATGCTGAAAACGCAGTCACAGATTGCTACTTTGATTGTGAATCTGTGAAATGCTGAAAATGGAAATAAGACAACCCCACTGACACTGTTCTGTTTTTCTCTGTTTTTACTGAAAAGTTGAGAAGTTACCATATTTTACTGAAGGGGTAACATTTACTTACCCGAAAAAAAAAAAAAAACCAATAGCTCCATAGTTGCCTACTTAAAAGAAAAGAAGCCATAATGGCATATAGTCCTATAACTTTTTCTCAAATTTTTGTCACATAAACCAATCACTATATTTGACCCCCCCCCTGGATAAAAAATATATTTTAAAAAATGGTGACATAATAGGATTTTACTTCTTAAAAATAACTGAGGTCTAAAGTAAATTTGCAGACGTTCGTTAGGCCAGTTGGACATCACTGTGAGCAAATGAAACATAATAAATAACGTGTGGTGTTTATCGTAGCATGTGGTGTTTGATGAAAACTTACCTTAATGAGGTGTATATCTCCTTTGTGTCTATAACACTTATAATGTGCTATAAGTGTTTGATAAGTGTTATATGCACTAGGAGGTATACACCTTGGCATATGTAGGTTTTACTCGTGGCGTTTTGGTCTCTCTAGCATTACTCTTTAACATGTGCACCTATATCATTAGCATATAAATTGTAATATACGTAATGTTTTACTTTTTTGTTAAGTAGCATGTGATGTTTTTCACATTTCTTCTTTGCTTACACAATAATTGAATGCAGAGTTTAAGCAGAAAATTGGTGCATATATTGTCTGGGCTGCTCTTCATGCTTTCCTGGCCAATTTTCAGGTAACCCTTTTGCTATTTTTGTTCAGAATTTCTCAACTTGTTTGTTGTTCATTCATTTATATCCCCAGCGGGCAGTGCTAGAAGTTTCCTTGACTACTTGAGCTCATCTTTCATCCTAGAATAGCACCTCAACAGCGGCTCGCTACTTTGCCTCTGTGGTTCCCCTTGTCAATTGCTTGAGGCTTCTTCTTCATGGCCTGTCCATAGTCACCAATGAAGGACTAGTCAAATCTGTCACTCGAGAAGGAAACCCAAAGTAACTTTTACCAATAATTAAACCTTATACATGCGGCTAATTTTTCTAAAGCCAGAGTGATTTAGCTTCATTTTTTTAATATCTGCAGGGAGTTGCTAAGAGG